TAACAACCTGCTGGATCTCTCTGCCCCTCCCCTTTCTCTCGCTCTACCTCCCTCTCTCAATATGTCTGTCTGTATGTCTGTATCTCTTCTCTCTCTGTCTGTCTGTCTTTTCCTATTTCTCTTGCTATACTTCCCTTCCTCATTCTACCTCTCTTTCTCTCTCACTCTCTCTCTCTCTTACACATATACACACACTTTCCCTCTCTTGCCTTTTCCTCTTATTTCTCATTTAATCTATCTGTACTATCTCAAAAGAATATATTGGTAATACGGACCTGTAAGAACAGGTTTCCGATAAATGCACCCTGGTCAGTCACTTCAAATTCAGGAACGAACCTTAGAGAGACAAGAAAGTGCCGTACCAGCATTATGTCATAAACCCTACACACACCTACACATACATACACACACACATTAAAGAGGGGAAGGGATAGTAACAAAGGGAGAGAATGAGGGAGATAGGGAGGAGGCGAAAAAAGGAGAGGGGAAGGAGGAGGCTGGAGCATGTGAGCCAGAATGAGAGTGAAAGTGAGAGGAAGAGTGAGCGAGGGAGAGAGATGGAGGAAGAAGTTTGATGGAAAGGAGAGGAGAGATGATAAGAGATGAGATGAGATGAGATGAGATGAGATGAGAGAGAGAGAGAGAGAGAGAGAGAGAGAGAGAGAGAGAGAGAGAGAGAGAGAAGAGAGAGAGAGAGAGAGAGAGAGAGAGAGAGTGTGTGTTGTGTGTGTGTGTGTGTGTGTGTGTGTGTGTGTGTGTGTGTGTGTGTGTGTGTGTGTGTGTGTAAGTGATATGAAGACAGAACAGAGTAGAAAAGAAGATAATAGAACAGAAGAGATAGGATGGGATGAGAATAGAAAAGAGAAGAGAGAATAATAAGAAAAGAGAAGAAAAAGAAGAGCACACGAGAGAAGAGAAGAAAAGAGAGAAAAGAAGATCAGCGAAGAAAAGAAAAGAGCAGCGAAAAGAGAAACGAAAAGGACAAGATAAGAGAGAAATGAGAGAGAAAGCGCGTCCCTACGGTGCACACAGTTCCACGGCGTCCACACTCCTTCAAACTTAAACGAAGCTGATAAGATAAACTGCCTTCATCTGTTACCCTCAAAGCCGTGAACTCCCTTTCGACTTCTATAAAATGTCTAATGTCACAGCTAACCGTTAGAGTGAGTGGGTGTAACTGTCAACCTAAACACCACACGGATAATGAGTGTCCCTTTTATGAGAGACACATTATATCCTCTCGCATTCAGAACACGTTTTCACCAAGACTCCTCATCCTTTCTAACATTCTGGTTTGTATCCACATCAGCATTAAACACAAATGTACAAACTTTCTTTTAAAACTACCCCCATTTCCCGCAACTCTTCGCCGCACGTCTAAATTTCTCTTGAATTGAATCCCAACTGTTGTCGATATACAGCGAGACCTGAACTTCGGAAATATAGCAGTAATTGTCTATCTTTTAGTGGAATTATAACCAAATATCTGTACTTTACCTGCAATGACACCTTTAAGGCCCATGCTACCGCCGCCACTGGACGCAGCAGCACCACTTTTCGACATCCATGGCCTCAAAAAGGGGGACCGAAAGGCTGGAGAGGGACAATCCATGCTCTAATTCTACAAAATCTAAGAGACAATCTCTCGCCTCTGCTACAACCAAAACACTGAGCTGGACAGCTGATTCGGGAGAAAGTGTATGTGTGTGTTTCGTGCGTGTGTGCCTGAGTTGACTATCGGTCTTTTTGGTAGGATATTATCGTACTTAATACATCGTGCACAGGTGGAAATCTTTTATGATTTGCATATCGTTATTTCATTATTTATGTGTTTTTTTAGTGTTACAGTTATTTTTCTCGAACTGTGAGAAAGTTTGAGCTTTAGGGTTGAAAAATTTACAAAGTCCAAAGTACAATAGGGATTTTAATATCAATTATTCTTAGATCCAATACGATTATTGTAAATAGTATGTTGGCAATTCATAAAACCATAAAAAATCATCAGATAGAAAGGTGATGTCAATAGCAACAAATTTTCTAACCAAGAATGCGCCAATCATCGTACATCGGACAACTAACACTGACATTCTAGAGAGTTTGAGATATTTATATTTTAGCGTTATGATGTATTCATTCTTATCGGTATATATTTCAATAAATATATATACCGTCACCTAAGATATTCATTCCTCAATGACTTACATAATAACAGAAGTAAAGTTACATCATATTACGAGAGACTGAAAAACTCTCGTGCGATACGTTGCCAGCGACTGACCAATCAGATACCTCAATTCGTGGCGGGAGATTTCTCGTTTTCAAAATATACACGGAACCGTAACATTAGTAGTTTTTAATACAAAACTGTATCGCGTATCTTTTATCATTGCGTTATTGCTGTACGATTACAGATGTAGAATTAGATTACGCTAGGTGTGTGGAACAGTACGTCTCTTTTCTTCCTCTCTCTCTCTCTTCAGTGCAAATACGCCACACGAAC